ATAAAATAAATAATTAAATTTTAAGAGTAAATAAGAAATAACCAAAATTAAAATAAAAAAAACTCTTTCAAAACGTTGGGTAGATGAATTTTTCAGAAATTAGTTTTTTGGTCCAGTCAAACGGCTAAAAGCTATTCAATAAACTAGACGCTTTTCAAAAAGTTATTTCTCAAACACTCTCATAGTTTATATTAATTATAAGCAAATAAAAATATTTTTATTTATATTTAAAACATATTAAGTTTATTTTTATATGATATTTGTATTTTATATATTTTAATTTTTTTAATTATATATATTAATTTATATTTTTAAATATCAATATCACTATTCATATAAAAACTAAATAAATTAATAGCATAAATTATTGTCATTAATTTACTAAATTTTATATATATATATATCGAGATACAAACTAAATATCCCCGTTAAATTTTTTTTTAAAGAAAAATGACTACAATATAAAAAATATTTTTAAAAATTAATAGTTGATAAATAATATTAAGATTTTCAAATATATATTAATAGAGCCTAAGAATCTGTAAGTTTAATTATAAACATATCAATATAAAGCATGTGTTTTGTGGTATTGTCAGCCTTTTTTAAAAAATAAAAAATAAAAAATAAAAAATAAAAAAAAATATATTTTTAGTATGTGAGCTTCGTTGCCGACAAGTACTTTAGCAAAAAGGTCAAACACTCTTAACTAATTCACATGTTCATTACTTTAATTATTTATATTAAATTCATGCCCCAAAATAAATAAATAGTCAAATTAATAACTAAAATTGATTGAATCACGTGAATAAGGTTTCTTTGGTTTTTGTGATTGTATTTAAATAATTTATTTTTTTATATAATATTTTATATGTTAAATTAATATATAGTTTATAGAAAATAAAAAACAAAATTTATAATAAAAATTTTTGAACCAAAGTTCTATTTTAGTTTAAATTTAACAATAATTAATATTGTATTTTTTGAAAATTTTTTTTAATATTTTCTTCATTTCACATATGATAAATTTATTTATTTATTTTCAGGAGAATTTGCGTGGATAGTATTAAGTATAATAAATTTATTTTATTTACAATATGTATAGTAACACGGTAACACATCCTTGTGTTTTAATAAAAATGCACAAAAAATATTGTAATTTATTTATTGCGTGAAACTTCCTTATGTTAATATAAAATTTGCACGAAATATTCTCTTTGTTCAAAACCGATATTTGGTTTTAAATAAATATCTAAATTATGCATATTTTATACAAGTAAAAAACGCAAAATATCTTAAATAAATTTTTAAAATAAAATAGATAGATAAACAATTGATTAATCCTTAATTTTATAGTTTTTCTAAAACAAATTGTTATCTGATTTTTATAAAAACTATAAAAATAAATGATTAATCAATTATCTATTTATTTATTTTATTCAAAAAAAATTAGTTAAGATATTTTGCGTTTTTTATTTATATAAAACTTGTGTAAGTTAAGTCTTTATTTATAACAAAATATCAATTTTGGACAAAGATGGTGTTTCATGCAAACTTTATATTAATACAATTGAGTTTCACGTAATAAATAAAATATAAGATGCTTTGTGCATTTTTACCAAAACAAAAGGATAATTTACCCTTATTTATAATGGAGATATTTCAAGATTTTAATAATAGTCCTTCGCGTATATTTGTTTACGCTTTGGTTACTATAGTGATTGTGTCAAATCAGTATTCGATAGCATATTTTAATATTTTTTTCGTCTCAGAACTATAGTTTTAATTGGGTTGGACACGATATTTAAGGAATATTGATACTATATTGGTAGTTGGTAAAAAGTATAAATAAAAGACTTTTTTGCCCTTGTGAGTGTATTAGTGTAAAATTTAGTGACAATTGTGTAATGAAAATAAAAAAGTAAGGGTAATTTTATGGTGATATGATTATTTATGAAAATAAGACTATTATTTTGGAACGGAAAAAATGATAAACAAGACTATTGTATTGGGATAGAAGGAGTATAATATAACACATTTTTTTATAATGCATTGTATAATTATATATAGTACTTCCGCAAAATAAAAAAATTATACAATATACTACGATATATGATCCACACATCAAATGTTAATACAAACATATAACATAACACAGTATAAATTTATATTGCACAATATACTGTGGTTACAATAGAATAAAATATAGAAACAACACATATTTTTATAACAAACAAGATGTGATGTTTGTAATAAAAGCATGTGTTGTTTACTTATAATTACAACGTGTGTTGTATAAGAGTATCTCATATATTAAAAATAACTGTGACATGTGCTGTGTGAGACTATATCATGTGCTGTATTTATATTATATTAATATAAATGATGTGTTGTCAATAGTAATACCATGTGTTATTTGTTAGCGCATTGCGTATTGTTCAGCACAATAATGAATTAAAATTTAACATTGTAGCCTCCGCCATAATCCACACAATATATGTTTTTATATCATACAATATATATGTTATTTGTTTTGTAATAAATCGTTAATTATGTCGAGATAATGTGTTTACTTGATCAATTTAGCACCCTAACTACTACTCCCTCCGTCGTTCAAATCTATGCTCACTTCTTTTTTTGGGTTATATTGAAAAATATTCTTATTTTCTTTTTAAGTAAAAACTTATTAAATTTTTGTACTTTTTTTACTATAAAAGAAAAAAGTAATCATTATTACCTACTTTTATTAAAATCCGTGTCCGATCAAATGAGCACATATTTGCATGACGGAGAGAATATCATTTATTTATTATTTTACTATTCTAAATACCAATTATAAGATTATTCAAAGCAATTGCGTTTAAAATAAATAGACAAAAATATTAAGATGAAATTGGGAGTTATTAAATAATATTAAAAATATTAAAAATATATTCTCTATCAACACTAAAGTCGTATTTGTTGTTCGTATTAAATATAATTGTGGTGAGAAAGTCAAGATTCACAATATAATTTAATTGAATTGTTACCTTCCCTTAGTTAATTGTGATTTGACAAAATTAGTAAATATTTATTAATAGTAATATTTGTTATGTATTACTTAATTACTTTTTATAATTAATAATATTGATAATTTTAAAATATATTTAATATATATAATTAAAAAAATAAAATATATTTTTAAATATTTCAAAAGTAATATTGCAATAAAAAATATATGTGCAATAAGAATATAATTATGTATGGAATAAAATTTGAAATATTAATACAAGAAAATAAATATATATATCTTTATACTTAATATAAACTAATTTTTTAAAAGATATAGAATAATAAAAATAATTATTGTATAATAAAAATAATTATATATTAATTATATATTAAGATAGAAATGTTCGTGAACTTGTGACCGTGAGGTTATAGATTCTCAAACTCTGATGTCTCTAGGTCCATCTACCACACATATGTAACTTGTCTTGTCGGACCTAGTAGATTAAGAAATAATATATAAAAGATTTTGATATTTTTTCTATTTGACTTTTTGTGTAAAATAATTGTATATATAATGGTATGTTTGTAATTTAAGTAAAAATTCGGAGTAATTGATAAAATAAATGGGACAAAAAAAAAGTAAAAAAGTTACTTTGAATTAAAAAAAAAAGTATATTAAGATTACTATACCTAATTAATCTAATTAAAATTTAAAAAAAATATAAAATAAATAGGATGAAGGAAAAAATAAAAATATGTTGGAAAAGTATTAAATAATGAAGAAATACTCAAAATATTTAATTTAAATTGAAGTAGTGGCAGACATTACGGAACGTGGCACGAAAAGAAACGGCGACCGTTAACGGAGCTCCCACAATGGCAAACGGCGTAAATAATACCCAAACTGAAGGGCAATCAGCATACGCCCAAACAGGCCACGTCGACGTCTTCCCAATACGCGCAAATAAACACGTGCGATTTGAATAAGTATAAACAACACGTATTCAATTGAAACTAATCCACATTCATTATTACAATATTCCTTTTTTCTTTTTTTTTTTTCTTATTTATTTATTTATTACTTACCCCTATCATTTAATTTGTTTATTTTAATTCAAACACAAAATTTTAAATAAATATAATTTGTAAATAATTAAAAATATATTAATAAAAATAATTATAATTTAATAAAAATGACTAAATAATTTTATTAAAATTTTGAAAAATTATAAATTATAAATTTTAAAATTTGATTAAAATATATAATCATATTAGATAAAAAGACAATGTGGGATATATGAAAATAAAAAAAAAATATTAAATTAAATGAAACTTAGGGTGTGTTTGTTTGTGGGTTTCAAGTTTTGGGGTTGGATTTTGAATAGTAAAAAGTCGAATTTGAATAGTTGATTGATTTGATATAAATAAATATTGATGTTATGTTTTGAATATAAAATAAATTTATAATATAATATAAAAAATAATTATTTAATATGATAGTCCCTCAGTCCTAAACAAGGTGTAACATTTGCTTTTGGCACGGATCTTTAGGTGGGTAGTATTAAGTATGGATAATTTAAAAATTATGTGATGCGATGAAGAGAGAAATATATATTTTTTTTTTTGGATGATGTGAAGGAATAAAATGTATAATATAAATTAAGTATAATTAATTATTTTTTATTTTAAAAATATTGCATGTGTTTATGATATATAAAAACAAAATATTGAAAGTTGATTAGATCGGAGGGAATATTTTTTTTAAGGAAAAGAAAATTAAATAGTAAAAATGTTTTGTGAAAGCTGCACAATCTCAATTACTACTAAAAATTGAAATAAAAAAAAAAAAATATATATATATATATATATATTTCTATTACTTAAATTATTATGTCCGGCAAGTGGCAGGTAGTCGGCCGTGGCGGGCCCCACCGCCTTTTTAAATTCACACACATATTCCTCGTGCTCTTTTATAAACCTTACCCTCAAAGGATCAATTCAATATATATAAAGATAGATATATATAGAGAGAGAGAGAGATGAACATATGCATAGAAATCTTCCATTGATTTTTTCTCCAAATTGTTGGTAGTTATCGCTTTCGTTCAGAGAAGTTTTTTGCCTACAAGCATCAATTCGCCGGAAGGACGATGTCTTCGTCGGAGAGAGCGTTGTACGGAGGCGGTAGATCAAATTTTTCGCAGACCTGTAGTTTGTTGAGTCAATATCTGAAGGAGAAGGGGAGTTTTGGAGAGCTTACGCTTGGATTAGCTCCGAGTTTCGAGGTTAAAGGTGAGAGGATTTGGAGAATTTTGGAGATGTGCTTTTGTGGTTTCTGGATTTGTTTGATTTTTTGTGGTTTCCTGATTTGTGTTTTTTTTTTTTTTTGATTTTTGGTTAGGAACTATGAATCTGTTGCCTAAAATTGAGGAATCTACTCAGATTCCGGTCGCCGGAGACGTTAAAGTGCAGATGAATTTGCTCCCCAAGCTCGTCGGCGCCGGGGAAGAGAATATGAGGTTAATTACTTTTTTACCCCTGGGTTTTGAATTTGTTCTTCGTCTATTTGGTGTTTGGACGGTTGCTGAGGTAGGATTTTTTGCGTGCGGCAGTTGTTCGCCGGAATCCGGACAGATGACTATTTTCTACGGCGGTCAAGTGTTGGTGTATAACGATTTGCCGGCGGAGAAGGCTATGGAAATAGTTACTCTAGCCAGGAAGTGCAGCAGCGGCGGCGGCGCCGGTGGCGGTGCAAACAACCTCCACTCTACCTCCTTTCCAGCTCCAAGTCCGGCGGAATCCGCCACCGGAGCAACTCCTAACGTTTTCCACAATTTCTCTCTGGCAGATTCCGGCCGCCGTCCTCCTCAGCCAGCTCTCGTCTCCGGTAAGCCGATTTCATCAATTCTCCACAACAAATCCACATCGAAAGCGATAATTACATCACTAATTCGAGATTCCTCATACCTGTAACTGATTTCATTAACTTTCGGATTTCAGATCTACCAATAGCTCGGAAAAATTCGTTGGCGAGATTCCTGGAGAAGAGAAAGGACAGAATCACGGCGAACGCGCCGTACGTCGCCAGCAAACTAGCGGCTTCACCGCCGGCGACTAAAGCCGAGGCGGCGCCGCTCCTCAGCTCGCCGAGATCCATTAATCAGTATGTTAATTCTGGTTATTAATCATAATAATATTATTATTAATATTATTAATTAATTAATTACGCGTCATTAGAATAGTGTGTAGTATAACCGTGCTTGGTTTGTTTGTCTTGCATTCCGTTACCATTAGAAGGCATTAGGCATTTATATGATGATCTTTGTTGTAATTATTAATTCAATCTTTCTCTAGAAATTATATATGAATTATGATGAGATCTAACGCAAAATACCAATTTATTTCCAGATCTCAAGTTTTTGTAATTTCTTCATGTATTTGTATTGCGTTTGTTCTTTTAAGATTCTATAGTTCCCGGTAAAATTCTGTACTCCCTCCCCCGTTTCAAATTTTTTATTTTTTTATTTTAGTTCGTGCCATAACAAAGTATTTATTTATTTATTTTTTTAAATAAAGTCATTTATACCTTATTCCTACTACATCCTAATATAATACTAATATTTGTAAAATTCAATGTAAAAAGCAAATAGATACATAGTTATAGCGCGGAAATACGTACAATACTCAATATCCGAAAAGTTACATTAAATCACTATACACCAAATATGATTAAATATTTAATACAACATATACATTTATTTATTTAGTAAGTTTGATTATATTATACTCTTCGGTCTCATATTTATATATTTATTTGTTTTTTGCACCGGGTTTTAAAAATATTAGTATTATATGATATAAAATAGAAATAAAGGTAAAAAAATTAAATCAACCCTATTAGTATTGTATGATATAAAGGTAACGACATTTGTGTTATATATTGTAAATAGTGGATCTTGATATTGTAAATCCACTTGCAGCCGATAGTTTTTTTTTTCGGGTAACGGAGTCATGAGATTCCAAGTGTTTGTCTTCTTGAGGGCTTGTATTTTTCTTAATATAGTTTGTCACAAAATATCAATTTTTACCTCTCGAAAAGACTTGAGTTTACGATGAGATCATATGGCAGTGTAACAATGATAATTAATAAGATGAGGAGAAAATTGACTTACATGAGTAAACCGACAGATACTGGCCGCAGGGATAAGATGGATATCAAGAAAAGGCTCAAGCATCGGCACATGAAGCGCAAATAGATCTACTGGAGGAGAAGAGGACGATGGTAAGAGATCGACTAGAGTAGATATAATTTCAGGATCTGAAAAAGATCGAAAAAAAATAGGGAAAGATCATAGTTGGGTAGATATAGAATGAGATGAGACGTAAAATTTGGATACGAAAGAGAATATTTGATGCTCCCAAAAGGAGATTAGACGAGAGATATGAAGACGATCAATTACAAAATCTCAATATCACTACAAGAAAATATCATTTTTGTAACGACGTTTTTTCATCTTTAAATCTACTTTTTTCGTTACTAATAACATTAGAGACAGAATTAAAAATGAAATTACGTTTGCTACGTACACTTTAGAAACAAAATTCCGTTACAAATATACTATTTTTTTTTTAGTGATCGATAACTCTTGTGCGCCGTAATTTCATTCAATATTAACCAATATGTAAACTACTATATATATATATATATAACCTAATTATGGACAATTAGGTCATTATATATACAATAAAATACTATACATCAATACTATTTAAATAAAAAATCAAATAAAAAATAAATAAAACTAAAAGCAAAAGCAAACCACACATATCCTTAGATAAGAATTCGATTTTGAATCTAATTAAACATCTTAATTTAAATAAATATATATATATACACAAAAATATTTTATATTACATGATTGATATTGACACTTTATTTTGAAAGACGTATAAATTTAAAGGTCATTCAAATAATCGAATAAGTGTGGATATTATTATACTATTATTTATATTATTATATTTTTTTATATTTCAATACAATTTTAAAAAAAATAAAAAAATTATAAAATTATTTTTACCAATAAAATTATGTGGATAATACATAGTCACATGAAACGAATTGTCACGTCGTCGCCATCGTAGTTATGGGTGTGTTTTTTGTTTTGGATATGTCCCTATTTCAAATTATTTTTATTATTATTATTATTATCATTATTTCAATATTTTTAATTTTATGAAGTATCTTCATTACAAATTATTTTCATTTTATATATTTTAAATATAATTTATATAACCATTTTAAAAAGAAAATCAAATTTTAAAAAATATCAAGATTATATCATATATATAAAAAATTGTATTAAAATTAAAGTTAGAAAAAAAATGGAAAAAAATTAATTAGATTATATATTTGATTTAATATTTTAAATAAAATATTTTTATTTTAAAATCAATATTTATATGATTTTTTTAAAAGAATCATATGTAGTCAATAGATATTTTACGAATATAAAAAATAATATAATATTAAAAATAAAAATATGACTAATATGTAATATGTCTAGATGTATATATGTGTTGAATAAAAAATAAAAATAAAAATCAACATAGTAATTGCAAGTATTTTTTGAGATATTTTAAATAGTAATGATTATGATAGTGATTGATTATGTGAAAAATAAAATTTAGAGTGAATACATTTATAAAAAATAACTCAACGAAACAATATACTCCCTCAGTCTAATTGAAATGTTATTATTTTTTATTTTTGTCCGTCCCAAAATAAGGTTATCATTTCCTAATTTAGTAATTGTACTACCTACTTAATATAAAAAATACCCTTTCAACTTACAATATATTACACAAATATCATTACTTTTATATTACACCATACTAATAGAGGTATTTTTTTTTGTCTTTTTTTACTATAATATAATATAATACTAATATTCAAAAATCTACTTGCAAAAAGCAAACGTCACCCTTGTTGCGGGACGGAGGGAGTATATGTTTCTCAATTAACAATTATAAAAAATATACTCCCTCCGTCCACGGATAAAGTATACATTTACTTTTGGCACGGTATTTAAGAAATAATAGTATTTTAATTATAATGGGTAGTTAAAAATAGTGTAATGACATTTTTGTCCTTACTTTTTGATATAAAAGTAATGATGTGATGTAAAGTAAGAGTATTTGTGGAAAAAAGTAAGATATTTAATGAAATCACTACAAGAAAATATCATTTTTGTAACGAGATTTTTTTGTCTTTAAATTTACTTTTTCCGTTACTAATGATATTAGAGACGGAATTAATGATGGAATTACGTTAGCTACGTGATCTTTAGGGACGGAATTCCGTTACAAATATACTATTTTTTTTTGTAGTGAATGTTTACTTTGTAATTGGACGTCCCAAAATAGAAATGTGTATACTTTCTAGCTGTACGGAGGAAGTAATATATATACATATTTATATATAATATATATTCTATTCATTCATTAAAAAAAATAAAAATCTAATACTTTAATATATAATATTATTTTTTATCGATTTTTATTCAAGTCGAGCATGAAACTTTTTTAAAAAGAAAATAAACCCACAAATTAGGTTTTGTTTGTTTTGTCTTTTGATTTGCAGAAATTTTTTATATATATGAATTATAGAAAATTAAGTAATATAAATAATTATGATAGATAATATACTCCCTCTGTCCTGTCCTATTGAAAGGTTACCATTTTCTATTTTCGTTCGTCCTAAAATAAGGTTATCATTTTCTAATTTAGTAATTGTACTACCTACTTAACATAATAAATACCCTTTCAACTTGCAATATATTACACAAATGTTATTACTTTTATATTATATCATACTAATAGGGATATTTTTGTCTTTTTACTATAATCCAATATAATATTAATATTAAAAAATCTACGTGCAAAGAACAAACATCACCCTTCCAACGGGACGGAGGGAGTATTATGTTTTTTGGAATAAATGTATATATTATAATATTTTTAAATTTTTATATTAATAAAATTTAGTTGATGTGTATATTATTTTGTAAATAATAAAATTTTTTTTTATAATTCTAAAAAATAATAATGGAATTAATTCAAAACAAAGTATAATATAATTAATATATAATTATTTCCTTATAATATAAATAGTGACATTTCAATAGTGTTGACCAAAAGTTGTAGTAGCCAAGCCAATAGGGCAAACATGTTTCGATACTTTTAGGGTGTGTTTGTTTGGGGGTTTGGATTTTGAGTTGGGATTTGAATAGTAAAAATTTTGAGTTTAAATAGTTGTATGATGTGATATAAATAGGTGTTGATGTGATGTTTTGAATGTAAAATTGATTTTTAGTATAATATAAAAAATGAAAAATATGTGTTTGATTTGATGTTTTTGAGGGGAAAAAATTGGATGAATAGTGTAAATCTAATCCAATCCCCCAAACAATTTTTTATAAATATATATATTTTTTAAAACTTTACTATTTATAAATAAAAATGTATATTTTCTTTTATAAAAAATGACATTAAATACTTAATATTTTTATTATTTATAAAAAAAATTAAAAATTGGAAAACAACAACCTTAATAGGACTTATTTTTCTATTACAAATAATTTATTATAGATTATAAAAATATAAAAATAAAGTCGAATCTGCAATTAAATATAGTCATTATCTTCACATGTCAAACTTAAAAAAAAAAAAAAGGATTGTGGGGACCGTTAGGATTAATTAAATAACATATTAATATGTATTTTTTGAATTTTAATTTTAATGATTTTATCGTACAAACAATTTTTTATAAAAAAATAATATTATTTATTTTGATAAAATATTATATTTAAATTAATGTCGACATCAAATGCAAAAGAACAGAATTCAATACGCGTTAGTTTTAAATATGTTCACATGGTATTCTTTTTTTTATGTACTTATATTTTTATATTTTTTTTAAAAAAATCATGGAATATAATAAATTATATAAAAAAATACTATATTCATCCCATAACGGGTGTCGGGTGTCTTGGTCAGAAACGAAAAATTAGAATAAGTATAATTACTAGATAATTAAAAATTTATTAATAAAAATAATTAATATTAAGACAACTAATTAGTTTAATTAAAATAAAAAAATTTAAAAGAAAATTAAAATGAGTAATCATTTTCCAAAAAAATAAAAGTAACATCAAATGTGGGACGAACAAAAACGGCAATATACACATGATAAATTTGATGGAGGGAGTATCATTTACTTTTACTTTTTATTTCAATTGCATTATTTTTGTTATTTACATTTTCTGTACACATTTTCATTCAATATAGCAAGACTAGTGTTCCGGTGCCGATTGGTACTATGTTTTAAATTTTTTTTTTTTATTTTATTTCTCTAAAATAATACTCTTTCTGATCAAATTTATTCTTTTTTTTATTATTATTCTTCTATTAAATTTATTCCATTAGTCTATATAAAATAATTATAATAAATAATACTAACTTTATTATATTTTTTATTTTATTTGTTAATAAATTATTTATTTTTCTTAATCGTGCCGAGTTCAAATGTGCTAAATAATGTTGACCGACATTTTCTATTTATTTTTTTTAATAAACTATTCATTTTCCTTAAACGTGCCAAGCCCAAATGTGCTAAATAATGTTGATGGAGGAAGTATATAGCATTAGACTCGTTCAAAATATATTCATATTTCTTTTATTTATATCAATCTCATTAATAAACAAACTCTAATTTATTTGTAAAATTAATTTATTTTAATTATAAATAAGTACTTAAATTGTTTTATTTATTTGTAAATATTTTAGGGTGTGTTTCTTTAGGGGAGTTTGGGGAAAGTTGGGTTTGAGTTTGGTTTTTATTCGAATTTTAAAATGGGTTTGAATTTTGTTGTTTCTTTTTGTGTATGAATTTGATTGGGATTTGGGGAGTTTTAACGTGTATTGATTTGATGGATAATAAATAAAATAATATAAATATGTATTAAATTTAATTGATAAAATTTATATTGTATGATTTGATTATGAATTTATATTATACCCAACATATATATATTTAAATTTTTATTTATTTGCATTATAGAAATTTTAATTATTTATTTATTTGGATTTATTTGGTATCATTATTAATAAAATATAGTACTATTTTTTCATAAAATATATTAAAATACCTCGAAATAGAAAAATTCAAACTTAAATACAATCAAACAAATTTTAATAAATATATTTTGATATTATGCATATATTTATAAATTTTATTTTATACTGTATATATATATATTTTTTCTTTTTTTTTTTCCTTATAAAAAATGAACTCCTAAAAAGGCCCAAAATTTTGGACCCAAGTGACTTATATGTGTAATATAATTATATATGTATAGTATATTTATATTTATGTGAAAACTACGGTATTTTGATATTAATGTATAATTGTTTTATTAAAACGAAAGAGTACACTTTTAATAATATACCATATTAAATGTATTTAAATACAAAACACAAGTCAAATATTTCCGATCCAAACCCGGATAACATTAGATTGAATCGCATCTTTCGAATAGGTCGAATGCGGGGAACTTTACCACTTGAAAACATGGCAAGTTTTTAAGCAGTAAAAGGCCAACTACAAGTAAAACTACGATAATAGAGAAACTTAATGAAATGCGACGCACCTTTGGGCAAAATGCTGCTAATGATCCGCAAGTATAGATATCCATCTCTGCCTCGCTCGTTTGTCACCTATGTTGGGTTCCAAGAGTATGTTCAAATGACTCACTCTTCGATCGGACTCTACTGTCCATCAAGTGTTCCAAGGGCCTCGTTGAGAAGTTTTTGAGCTTCTTCTCGTCTCCTGGAGCATCATCATCAAGTATGTTGAGTGATCGAAAAGCGACTACACTTCTTAAACTGCACAAAATGTGTCACTAATCTTGTTTCCTCTAGAATGTGATATTCGGGTTTTTTTTTTTTTGTCTTTCATATTCGTTTTTCACTGTTCAATCTACGGTAATATAAATTTTACTCTTTAGAAATCTTTGTACCAAACACCCAAATATTTTTCCATTCAAAACATTCTATTATATAAACATATCTATCATTCAGCGTATCAAACACCTAAATTTCATTTAAACATCTCGTCTGAAATCTAATTTTTATTTAAAACATTGTATTTAATGTCGATTTCCAATTCAAATATCATTGTTCCAAGTGCATCCCAAAACAATGGACATTTTTAAAAAAAAAAAATTCAAAGGCTGTGTTTGGATGTAGGTTCCGGAGCGGATTTTGGGATTCAGAATTGTAAAAATTTGACTTAGAACATGTGGTTAATATGATATAAGTAAGTGTTTTTGATGCAATTTTTTGTAATATAAAAAAAAAAAAATGTTTGACGTGATTTTTCTGAAGAGGAAAAAATGGGGCGGACTAACATGCTAGCATATTCATTAAAAACATGTATTGACGGGCACGGTAAAATACAAACCATACCTTTTAATGTCCTCGACAGCTTGCTTGCGCCGTTGTATCTGGAGTTCCAAAATATGGATGAGTGTAGCTCTAGCCTGCCATGCCAACAAGTTCAGTGAAAAAAAGCGAAACCCAAACAAACCAGTTTCTTCAACTAGAGTCTACGATTGTGTTCTTTTGGGGTTTTTACCACCGAATTTTACTACTCCCTCCGTCCAGCTAGAAAGTATATATATTTCTATTTTGGGACGTCCAATTACAAAGTAACAATTTCATTAAATACCCCATTTTTTCCACAAATACCCCTACTTTACATCATATCATTACTTTTATACCAAAAAAGTAAGGGCAAAAATATCATTTCACTACTTTTACCTACACACTATAATTAAAATACTATTATTCCTTAATCTCCGCGCCAAAAGTAAATGTATACTTTTAGCTTGGACGGAGGGAGTATTAGATTAAGATTTCCCTCAAAAAATATCAAATCAAACAATTACTTTTTTTATATATATTATACTACACATTTATTTTACATTCAAAGCATCACATCATTTATATCACATCAAACAACTATTCAAATTCAACTTTTCACTATTCAAAAATCCAAACCTACAAACAAACACATCCTACGATATTTTTGTGAAATGGCATATATAGTTCACCTGGTGTGGGCGCAATGAGTTGAGCAGGTGATGCAAGTTCTTGAAAATAAGCGAGATATCTTCTACTCTCCTAGCATATTGTGACGGCTTCTCCACAAGAACATCAGCAAGCTCCAACAAATGTAGTTGCAATTCACGGTTAAGTGATCTCAGCTCCTTCTTGAAATCTATATGGGAAGAATAGGCAAACACTCAATAAGTGATATCGAGTAATTTAATAACTGAATAATATGTTCCAGTACAAGATTTCTACGACAATCAGAAAGCTCACCATCACAATTTACAGATTCAAATAATGTAGGAACGTCGCTATTTCTAACTAAGTTTGATGCAAGAGAATTTAACTAGAGACATCAAAGTTTGGGTTTGATAAACTAGACAATTTACGTATTCAAATAATGTAGAAACAGATTAAGCTACTTCACCATTTCTAACAATCACAATAATTTACCTCCCGTTCCCACAACAAATAAACTACAAAGCAGAATAAAATTGAGCTTAAAAAGAGGTCGAGGGCATTTCATCATTCGCTAAAAAGAGCAATGCCTAACACTCAAAATTCATCTTCAAACAGCAAACATCATTTCAACACCATTCTTAGAATTGCAACTGCAATCTGTAGCCACATCCTAATTGGGTGTTTTTTTTTTTTCGGTTGCATTTTATCAGTTTCACAAAACACATTAGTTATAAAACAAGCTACACAATGCAGCAGAGAAGGTAAGTAAATTTGAACACCAAAATGATAAAGGAAAAGGAAATAAAATGCAAATACAACAAAAAGTAAGGTGTGCGTAATACATGCCAATATTCGGTCCTTTAGGATACAGTTGACGAACACCTTGCTCTTCTAGACCAGGAAGTACATCATCAGTCTGCACAATAGTCAATATCACAAAGCTTAGTTTGACAGACAGATTTCTGATTTTCAATATATAACTTGGGATGTGTTTTCTATGAGCAACTAGGGTGTGTTTCTCTTTTGTTTCTATCTAGTTTGCTACTATTTGAACTCATCGTTCTTCGAAAAAATACACTTTACTTTCAGAAAACATCACATCAAGCATTATTTAAATAAAAAACTCAAACCTCCAAACTCAATCTAGGTTGAAAAAAAAATAGTTAAGGGAGTGTTAGGATGTGTTTCTGAAGTTGTTTTTGTACAAGCTATGATAAAAATTCCCTAAAGAAAAATCGAACTAAACCCCTAGTTTCCTTTCAAACCATAATATCAAGAAACCATCCAATTACAATATAGAACACCTAGTTGTCATTCAAAAATTTTCAAATCCAAAACCCCAAATCACTCCAAAAATCTTTTTTATTTGCTAACCACAGATCATACCAATATTGAAACCCTAGCGGATTAAGCCATAGAACAATACAAAGCATGGTGGAAATACTGGTGTTTTTACTTATGCTTTCAAATCATTTTTCACTTAAAAAAAATACAGTACCTTAAATCTAACACAAATTTTAGGGGTTTTGGATTTAAACCATCACAACGTACACTTTACTTGAAAAAATTTCAAATACAAAACACACTAGAACACCAAAGTACTCCAAATACCAACACAGATAAACACAATTTCTGGCTATGTTAGGTTGTGTGTAAGCTCAATGTCCAGTAGCGAGTGCATATGCACCGGATATCACCGTTTTTAATCCAACTCTACACCTGAACTAGATCTACTCTGTGTATAATGAACAAACAAACAGGCAAACTTGTGCATATGTTTTATGATCAATTATCTCTTTCTTTGCCTGTGAGTAGGAAAGTAGCGGTGGAACGCATCAGAAATCCGTGGAAGGAATGGAAAAACGAATTTCGCAACCGCGGCAATCGAAATAAACAAATACAATTCGAATTCAAAAGGCGTTTAGGGTACGATACCGTGTAACTGGCGCCATAGAGTACATATGGACCTTGAATCGGGGGCGGCGGCGCCGGGGCGGAGTCAGGATCCTTTGAATACTCCTTGTACAGTCGGTAGTACGGCGGCGGCGGTGGGTAAGTCGCCGTTGCCATTGGAAGATAATGGATTCGATATGTACCTTATATAACTAAAATCCTCTGTGCGGCCTTAGGCTCCAATGAACCGGATTGTCGCGACGGCGGCGGCGGCGGCGGTGGATCTTGTTTGTGTTGATGGCGTACAGCTGAGAATGGTTTGAAGAAATTTCTCTGCTGTTACTTTGCTGCGGTTTTCCAAGTTCAAATGGAGTGAATTGTGATTATTACTCTATTACTCCTTCGTCCCAGTAATTTGATTTTATTTTCTATTTTCATCTATTTCATATTGTTCTTTTTATTTTTAAAAATATAATTATATATTTTAATTGCATTTTAAAATTTAAATTTTATAATTTTTAAAATTTTAATTAAATTATTTTTTTATTTTACTCTTAATCTATAATTATTTTTACTAAATAATAATTATTTTTACTAATACACTTCTTAATTATTTATAATCTTATACTGTAGATGGAGGGGGTACAAAATTACAAAGAATATATCAAATTGGATAAAGAGAATAATATTTATTAAAACTTAAGCTATAAAAGAATTGGTGGGCGAAGAAATTCATTATTTTAAAAAAAAAAAATTAAAATTAAATTTGTGGGTTAATATGGGGATGTGTTTGTTTGAGAATTTAAATTTTGAATTGTAATTTTAACAGTAAAAAATTTAAATTGTAAGTATTAAAACAAAAATTATTTTTATTTCATTTAAATTTAAATTTTTTATTTGTAGTCCATTCAAAAAAATTTATCAAAACTAAGTCCTATAAAAAAAATTTCATCATTTCTAGTCCTAACGGATTATACCAACGCCATGATTATCGGTGCTCATCTGACAACTGAATCGGATTAAACACGGTCATGTTTTATGTAACACGACCGTGTTTAAATGAATTGCTTGTCTAATTGATTCAACACGGGCGGCGGCGGTCGATCATGGACGTCGCGTCTCCGGTGCTCTACGGTGGTGGAGGAGGGGCCGGCATTGGCGCTAAAGGTCGCGGCGGTCCGATTCGGTTGAGAAAGAGAAAAGAGGAGAAGAGACCGCTTTAATCACGAATGTGTATTTTGTCAAACATGCCCGTGTTGAATCCGTCATATAAGCAATTCATTTAAACATAGCCGTGTTTAATACAACTCAGCTAACAGATCAACATTGGTAACCGTCATGTCAATATAGTTCGTTAAAATTGGAATTGGGAAAGAGAAAAAGGATAAGAGACAGAGTTTTAACCACAGACATGTATTTTGTCAACACGCCCATGTTGAATTCGTCGTACAAGCAATTCATTTAAACACAGTTGTGTTTAATTCGACCAAGATGCTAGATCAGCGTCGGTAACCGCTACGTCAGTTAAAAATGAAACGATATGATTAGAAATGATGGAGGTTTTTCTGTATAAGACTTGATAAAATTTTTTTGAATGTGATGAAAAATAAAAAAATTGAATTTGAAAGGGACTACAAATGATTTTTCCTAAGGGTGTGTTGGTTTGGGAGAAATCCCTCAAATTTCACAATTTATCAAATTTTTTTCCTTAAAAAATATCAAATTAAAATATTTATTTTTTATTTTTATATTATATTAAAAATTAATGTTATATTCAAGATATAACATCTAACACTTATTTATATTACATCATACGACCACTATAATTCATATATTTTACTATTTAAATTTCAACTCAAAATCCAAAATCCCAAATAAATATATTCTAAAAGTATTATATGATGTCTTGGTTAAAATAAATTTTTAATATAATATAAAAAATAAAAAATAATTATTTTATTTGATGTTTTTAATAGATAAAATTTTATATAGTAAAAATAAGAAAAAATCTTTCAAAAAATACACCGTGGGTGTGTCAGAATTTAATATTGTAAAATTTAAAATTCAAATTCTTTAAAAAAAAAAAAGAAATTTAAGAGAAATTTAATTTAAATTTAATATTAAAATAATATACGACGGCATCAAACAATAGACAGCCGAGGTTTTTGTCAGCTCAATAGATGATAAGAAAATTTATATATAAGAGTTTATTATATATTCGTTGCCAAAATTTCGAACTTTTTACCTCCAAAACAAAAAAAGCAAATCAGTTCACTTAACATGTCACAGGTACGAGTCAATGTCGGGACAATTTTGTGAACCCAATTTGCCCAAATGTGTCCCACTTCGAAACCACACACCACACCACACCAGATTCCAAGCATCCATCGTGGCCATGCCTCGCTCTCACCACAAAAATTCGCATTTTGAATTGGATAGCGGTAAAATCACAGGATTGAAGGGCCACAGTTCAGCCCCGCCATTGCCTTCTTCTCTTCTTATCTGCAGGAAACTCATTTTTCATGCTGTCTTGAGATTTTTACTTGATTGAATTTGAGGAGTTTTGCAATGGGGGAGCAGAGGAGTAGCAGTAGCAGTAGCAGTGGCAACAACCGGTGGAATTGGGAGGTATCCGGGTTCGAGCCACGGCGCCCGTCGGAGCAGCGGGATGACTACCGGAAGACGCCGCTGTCGGGGCGGCGATACTCGATGTCGATTTCATCGCATTCCGAGCTGTCCAGGCTCGCCGCGAGCTCCAAGCTCACGCAGTTGAAGGACAAAGTCAAGGTTCATCTTCTATTACTAATGCTATACATATATATGTATTTATATATATGTGCATTTTAGGATTTGGTGTTGATTTGCATCGATGTTTTTGTTGATTTGTTGTTTGACTGATAGCAGAACTTGGTGAGGTAAATCACGTGTAGAGTATTTGATGATCAGGCTTATTATTCGATAAGTAATCTTGTGTTTCAGTCTTACTTGGAATTAAGAGAAGGAATTAGTAGTATATATGCATTTAAGGATTTGGAGTTGATTTGCATCGATGTTTTTGCTGATTTGTTGTTTGAATGATAACAAAGCTTGGTGAGGTATATCGTGTTTATAGTATTTGATGATCAGGATTATAATTAAATAAGTAATCTTGTGGACGAATTGAGTTCAGGAGCTGTGATTAATTATCCAACGTGTTTTGAAAAGCTATCTTATTTCGGTTGCTAGTTGTAGTTATGAAGAAGGGATTCGGATTCACAACCTTGGTTATAAGCCAAGGGAGTTCCCATATCATATCCAATGTGGAATAATATTAACACTATCCCTCGATATGATAATCTCGAAAATACATATAAGATCAATACCCATTACGGGTACCATGGCACTGATATCATGTGAAGAAGGGATCCGGATTTCCAACCTAATATCAATTGGTGATAGGTGGGGTGACCCTTCAACCTTATAAGCCAAGGGAGTTCTCACATCATATCCAATGTGGGACTATATTCAACAGTAGTTGTGCTTGAAGTGTAGTTTCGATTCTTTTCGAGGTGTAAATGGAATTTTCAAGTGTTCGAATGTTAAGGTCTTGGCTAGGAAAGCCTATGACCTCATTTTAAATTCCACAAGACCATTGTTGGTCTATTGCCTGCTATTTTTCTTTTTTCTAGGATGTAGTGATTAGTTTATAGTCCATGAGTCTGAAATGAGATTCTGTGGTGAAGTCGAAAACCTGTACTGCTATCTTGAAGATGATGCCATTGTTAAATTTTTAATGTAAAAGGTTTTACCAGAGATTATACTCTAAACTTTTTGAAATGATAATGTTGTGATTTTATTTTCTGCCATTGATTTGTACCTTTTAATTCTTATTATTACAACTCTTGTTTTCTTGAACTGATTACTTTGCCTTTATGTACAGCTTGTCAGAGATGATTACCTGCAGTTAAGACAGGAAGCTAGGGATCTTCAAGAATATTCTAGTGCAAAACTTGATCGAGTTAGTCAATACTTAGGTGTACTTGCTGATAAGACACGTAAGTTAGGTAAGTCAGTTGGATATGAGTTTGTGGCAATTCAAGAATGACATTTGTTCATCTATACGTATATATATGTATACACATGTATGCCAATATGCTGTTTTCTGTATATTGTATATATAATTTTAAAGTTCTGTGAACTCAAACTAATTACTCTTTCCAGATCAGGCTGCCGTAGAAGTAGAAGCTAAAATATCTCCACTTCTATCTGAGAAGAAAAAGTTATTGAATGATTTGTTGACTGCAAAAGGTTTTCTTCTCTTCTCAAAGCTTTTGGCTATTCTGGGTCCTTCTTTATGCAAAATTTGCTCCATAAGTTCTCTCAAAATCATCACATACTGAACTTGGATTACCATTTGCAGGAAACATAAAGGTGGTTTGTCGTGCAAGACCTCTTTTTGAAAATGAAGGTTCATATGCTGTTGAATATCCCAATGATTATACAGTTAGCATAAATTCTGGGGATGGTCCTCTTTCCCATCCCAAGAGTGTTTTTGAATTTGACAGAGTTCATGGGCCTAATGCTGGACTAGGTGAAGCATGTATTGTTATGTTGATTCCTTATCGTAGATGCTCGTAGAACCCTTACTAGCTTGTGTGCCTCAATTGTGCAGGAAATGTTTTTGTTGATATTCAGCCTTTTGTTCAATCAGCATTTGATGGATATAATGTTTCTGTGTTTGCATATGGACAAAGCGGCTCTGGAAAGACATATACTATGGTTTACTTCTCTTCCCTTGTCCTTCACTGTCAGTATACTCAAGAAATTTATGATTATCTGGTTTAAAATGCAATTTAATGTATGTTAAAATTCATTGATAGTTTGATCTATAGGTTTCCTTAACATTTGATATAACGTTGATATATTCATTTAACTACCTATGTGTGATCTTATGGTTGGCCACTGGTGTGAGTGATAGTATCCCTTTCTCATCACACATCCTTCTTAATGCAGGAAGGCTCCAGCCATGATCAAGGTTTATATGTTCGATGTATTGAGGAGCTCTTTACTTTGTCCACCTCAGATGCAACATCAGCTTCTCAGTATAGTTTCTCAGTTTCAGTGTTTGACATACATGATGAAAAGGTACTTTTCCTTCAGCATTATTGAGTTAAATGTCATGCCTCGTTTAACTTCAACTTATTCTTGTTTGACATTTGAAGTGTGAATGTGTCGAGGTTCATGAGTATCTTTTGTCGAAGCTCATAATGCTTTTGTAGGTGAATGATTTGCTTCCGAAATTTAAGGATCGGCCAAGTGTCCGTCTTTGGTCATCGAATAGCGATCAAAACCTCACACAAGATTTCAAGGTTGATAAATGGGATAATGGTGAAGAAGTGCAGCAGGAAAAAATTGAGAATCCAGCAGAATTCTCCAACGTTCTCCAATCAGCATTATCTAATGCAGCAAAGTCTAGAGCCTTCCACCGGTACGGTTTCTACCAATTGCCCCTTACTAATTTCATGGGGCATACAAATTTCATATGCAGCAAATTATGGTATTTTCTCAGTCAAATTGATTAAAGAGTGTCTGTTTTATGGAATAACTTCAATATTTCACTAGATTATTTCTTGGAAAGTAAAGAGATTTAGTCGAGTGCAATTTAAAGCGACACAGGTAAGGAAGCAAAAAGCAAAACTAAAAACTGAAGCATGCCTTAATCATTTGGGTAGAATAAAAACTAAGAGTCTCAAGATAGGAGTAATTATTTGGGTTGCTCGTGGGAGTAATATCAAGTGTTCTATGTGCATTCAAACTACAAGAACACCCATGCAACATGGTTTCTTCTGTTCATATAGTTCTTTTTATGGACCGTGTTTCACTTTACCGTAATGCATGCATAGATCTTTGGAAAAATAAAAGTCACATGTATCATGTGCTTGCTATGATCTATTTCATAGAAGGCATCAGTTCCTGGGTTCTTCTAACTGAATTACTTTATTATTTGTTTATTTTCTTTTTGTAGGGTTGTCACTATACATATATGCAATATAAACTTAGCCACAGGTGAGAGCAGATGCAGCAAGCTTTCTTTAGTTGATTTGGCTGGAAGTGATGGTACAAGAACAGAGGCCACCGGTGAACATGCAACAGAGTTGTTGCATGTCTCAAGATCCTTGACAGTGTAAGTGAATGTTACATGGTTCTCTTAAAGGCCATGAAATTCATTAATCTTCAATTCGGACATTGTATACTTGCTGCCTATATAGACGACTGATCTCATTCTGGCCATGGTTTCCTTTGTTCAATAGCAATCTATATTGTTTCCATTTGCTAGAAGTTCCCTTACAATTTTCTTATTGGCTAGTCTCGCACAGCTGCAGTTTAAGTTTTACATCATAACCTAGGATGTTTCTTAGTTTATCTGATGTTTGGTTTTGTGTGTTCTACTTTTGTATTTGTTTCCTTTCTCATGAAAGGTTGTTAGAAATTAGGCACCTCAATGTACAACTAGTGTAAAAGTTAGTTGGTGTACTCAATTCATCCTTTGGTTTTTTTTTTTTTCACTTGATCTCACTCATAAATTTTTTTGTTTCATGTTGCAGTTTAGCTGACGTATTGGCTTCCTTGTTCGCTAAGAAGGATAAAATTCCCTATGAAAACTCTCTGTTAACCCAAGTTCTTGCAGATTCACTAGGTATCTATGTAGTTATTTTGGATTTCCTTATTATTAATATTCTGATTTTCAGCTATCCCGTTTTGATTGATAATCACTGCCTCATTTTTTTTAACTCACTGGCTCATTATTGATTCATGTCTATGTTAGTTGCACAAATATTCTTGCCTAGATGCCACTAATCCTACTAGTCATCAATCATTCTTGTCTAGGATCATTATAGTCCCCTTTTATAATAAGTGAAATAGAATCTATAATATGATTTATCTTCTTTAGGTATTTTCAGCTACCAAATCACCTCACCTTTTCATGTTTTCACTTGATGGTCTAGCCTTTTACTTTGAACAATCCAACATGCATGAGCCAAACCAACAAATCTACTGTTGTTTGTCTTCTGATCATGCTGACTTTTTCTTAATCAGGTTTCAGTTAGGTTGCGGCTCTTGTCTTATCATATATTAATCCTGTAAATTATCCTGTTAGATCATGCTTGACATCAAAGTTCTGTGTTGTTGGAAACGTGGAGTATATACCATTGTGGGTTTGAGACCTAGCTTGTTTGTTTCGAAATCCACTCTTGGGTTCGTCTCTCAATAGCTACTATTAGCCTTAGATCTTGTGACTTGTTAGCTCAATTGCTTCTGTCAGAGTTTAATTTTCTGATTATGATCTCTATGTTTTACCCGAGACAGTGTTGAGAACCACACATTTGTGTCATATCATTTGCCCTTATTCATGCCTTCAAGTTGTCTGGAATTATTCAATTTCGCAACATCCAACCCACAGTTGATGCTATCTTGCATAACTTCCTTCTATATTACTTTGGCTTAGTTACAAAACTCATTTACAAATTTGTAGTTCATTTTCTGTCTTATGCTTTACATGACATTGGATTTTCATTTATGCAGGTGGAACCTCCAAATCAGTGATGATTGTCAACATCTGCCCGAATATGCTCAGCATGTCTGAGACAATATCATCTCTTAATTTTTCCTCTAATGTCCAAAATGCCATGAGACAGAAGGATTTTGTAAGTCTTCTGAATTTTGTTGGTAAGAGTATACAAATTTTGCAAGAATATTAGTCAAATGAATTAGTACTTGTTCCTGAAAATTAAGCAACGCGGAAGAGAATTCATTTTCTTCATACTAGTGATTATGCGGGATGCATACAGTTATTAAATGAATGTCAAGTTAATAGTGTGTTCATATTTTTGTTAAGCTTTAGTTGCACTTCTCTTGTAGGCCAGTGAAGCACGTACAGAGTTTCCTGAAAAAGAAGATGAAATCAATGAGCTGAAGCAAGAGATTACGAAACTAAAACAAGATTTGAAACATGCCAATGACCAATGCGTTTTGCTTTATAATGAAGTTCAGAAAGCCTGGAAGGTTACTTCCACGTTGGAGTCTGATTTGAAGGTATTATGTTATGCTTTTGCACTGTTCTCTACCATTTTCCTATCTGCTATTTTGGTGGATGAGATATGAATATTGGCTTTAGGATTATATTAATACACCAGACAAAATTTTTCTGACTAATATGTTGATCGTGAAATGAGTTTGATATGTGTTACTACATATTGCAAGACATGTATTATGTGGAGAGAATACTTTCCACATTGAAGAGTGATTTTTATATGTAGTTGACTATGTATATTACAACTTCTTTATCTTCATCATCAAAATAATCATCTAAGCCTTTGTGTTTGATAATTCTTTTTGGATCATATGCCGTGTTAGCCCTATGGATTACATGCCTCCATTGTGTTCAATTAAGAGGCATATTTTTCATCCATATTTAAACATGCAATATAGTTTCTTATAATTTCTTTCTAGGTCTTCATATAGTCCTTTTTGTATGAACTGAGGGGTTTGTGTTTCAAGTTTCAACATATCTTCTTGTGTTAATTACTTTTTCAATATAATTTAGTGAGTGTAAATATTTCTTATTTAACTTACCCAACATTTTCTGTCAACTTTTGCCTCCAAATTGAGTTGTCCTCTTGATTAAGTTCTACATAATCTCCAAACAAATCTCCCAAGTGGCTATCCAGAGCCCCAAGTTCTTGAGACAACTCATATATGTAAACTTCATCTGAACCTGTAAAGAAATATTATTGCCCAAATTTCATAACCATTGGGTGTACGCTGACACTCAAAACTTTAATGCCAATGGTAAGTGACAAATTCCAACATATGTGACACGTGCACATGCTCTCATCTCCTAGTACCTGCTAGCTGTTTTTATTCATTGTTTTTCAAATGCAATACTTCCATAATTCAGACTATTTGGTTTAATTTTTTATTTTTATCCTACTCTGTCGCACAAAATACTTCTTGGGATGCAATTGTATACGAACTAATAGATGAACCAGACTAAGAACATGTTATCATGTTTTCTGCAGGCAGACAACACAGTGCTTGCAGATAAGTTCAAGATAGAGAAGGATCAGAATCAACAACTTCGAAACCAAGTTTCTCAATTGTTACAGGTGGAGCAAGAGCAGAAGTTGCAGATTGAAGAAAAAGATTCAACTATTGAAATGCTACAGGTTGGCACAAAATTCTGTAATCCTCCTTGTTCATTTTTGTAGAAGTCACTTGTCTCTCCTTCATACATTTTCTTTTAATATCATATAGGGTATTTTTCGAATCAATTTGTTGTCAAACGCCATCTTTTACGGAAACTGGTAGAACCTCAACAAAAATATATTTATTGAACAAATCAAAATCTCTCAGTGTTTTTAAATCTTCTACAGCTTTATACTTGAATCTTGATACCGATGGCCCTTGATGCAACTTCTGTAGGCTAAGCTGAAGAATATTGAGTCACAATTGAATGAAGTTCTTCTCTCCAAAACCACTTTGTCAACGAATGGCACTGGACTGTCAAGTGAAGAGCAAACAAGCAACAAATCCCCTGCTGATGATGTAGAATCTGCTGCAGTTACCAAGAAACTTGAGGATGAGCTCAAAAAACGAGATGCTCTCATTGAGGTCATTTGGGTTGCCTTTGTTATATATCTTTCATTGAACTTTTACTAAAGGTTCAGAATATTTTTGGAGGTATGCTACAAAATAAGCTTCTTTTCTTTTGGTCCCCGGGCAGAAATTACATGAAGAGAATGAGAAGTTGTTCGACAAGTTAACTGAAAAAGCTTCAGCCGAATCACCTAAGGTGTCATCTAAACCTCCTGGGGGCTCAAATGCCCAGTCTCGTGACTTGGGAAGGTGTTTATCCATTCTGATCTCCGTCAAGTTCTCTTTACAATTGTTATTACTTGACATGCATACATACTACCAATTTTGCACGAGGCCTAAATTGATTTTCCTTGACAGAAATGATAATTCTCATGCCAAAGGACGGCCTGGTGATGTTTCCTTACCCACCCAAGCAGAGAATGCTGGTGCATTGGTTAAATCTGGCACTGGTATAGTTAAAACTACACCTGCTGGTGAATATCTTACAGCAGCACTTAATGACTTCAATCCTGAACCATATGACAGTCTTGCTGCCATATCAGATGGTGCAAACAAGCTCTTGATGCTGGTAAGGATGGTGAATTTGCATCTGCGGGTGCACATTTTTTAGATTATACTCTAGCATTTCTTAGGCACCTTTTTATCATGTATCTAAAGCTCATGAATATAAAAAGCATACCTTTGTTAAGATGCCTTACAAAGCATTCCCTAACCATCTGCAAACCAACCTAGTCTTGATTCTTAGGGCCCAGAATTCATTATTAGTCCCACAAATGTACGTTTCTATTCTTGTCCCATGATATACGTTTTAGTAGTTTGTTGCATAATAAGTTAGTAGCTTTGGTTTCATAATTTCAGGCCAATTAAGATTGACGGGAAAAACCCTAATAGCATGTGGAATTACTAAAAGAGTATGCAATGCAGGTGTTACTGTATATTTCTAACAATGATAATACTCTGAAATGTTAATATTACTGAAAATTGGCTTATTATGGCCAAAATAGAAATAGGCACTTGGGATTACATAAAAAGTTCAATTTCACCAATTTTTAGGCAAGTTGGTACCATTGTTTGTAGTTTTTACATGCTTGATTTCTGGTAATTAATTGATCAATGGCTCCTGTCTTTAATAAGCTATTATGTTTCTGCAAAAACTGCAGGTATTGGCTGCGGTAATAAAAGCTGGTGCTTCTAGAGAGCATGAAATACTTGCTGAAATTAGAGAGGCTGTATTTGCTTTTATCCGTAAATTGGAGCCCAAAAGGGTCATGGACACCATGCTTGTGTCCCGTGTTAGAATTCTCTACATACGATCGTTGCTCGCTCGCTCTCCTGAGCTCCAATCAATTAAGGTGCTAAGAAAGTTTATGGTATATTTTGATATATGTCAATCTTGAAATATATACTCAAGAAAAATGATTTGTTATGTAAGGTTCTCCCTGTTGAGCGGTTTCTAGAGAAGCCTGTAAGTGGGCGTAGTAGAAGCTCTAGCCGCAGTAGTAGTCCTGGAAAATCTCCTGTGCGCCATGAATCCAGTGCTAGGACAAATATGCTGGTTGAGGAGTTTGTTCCAGGTTTCAGAGTTAATATAAAACAAGAAAAGAAGTCAAAGTTGTCGTCTGTGGTCCTGAAGATACGTGGAATCGACGAGGTATTTTGTGATATTATTACAGTGAAATAGAGTCGAACATCTCATTGATGAAAATATAACTCCGTCAATAAAATCAAATGTGATTTAAAAAAGGATATATCAGTTACTATATTTTATATATTGTAATGACATTTACTTTCCATGTAATAGTGCTTATACATTGTAGTGGAATTAATTATCTCATAATAATATCGATTATTTGTAAGGAAGAAGGTACTTGTGAAACATTTCATTTATTTTCTCAAAAAAAATGTACAATCTAACGACAATTTCCTCATATTATATGTACTTGATGAATTTTACTGTTATTATAACAATCCTAATTAAATTTTTGTCTCAGCTATTCTGTTTCCATTTTTTCTCATGTATTTTATCCTGTCTTTATATTTTCAGAATCATGTAATATCATAATTGTTTTCGATCAATGGTTAGCTATAGATTGAATTTTGACTGCATTTACATAAACTTCAAAATGTTACATTTCTGATTATATAGGATGTATGGAGACAACATGTAACCGGTGGAAAGCTTCGGGAAATAACTGAGGAAGCAAAAAGTTACGCAGTCGGAAGAAAGGCTTTGGCAGCTCTTTTTGTCCACACTCCAGCCGGTGAGCTCCAGCGCCAAATCAGAAATTGGCTTGGTGAGAATTTTGATTTCCTGTCTGTTGCTGATGACACGGTAGCCGGAGCAACTGGACAGATTGAGCTTCTCTCAACTGCAATTATGGATGGTTGGATGGCGGGTCTTGGCGCTGCCCAACCTCCCAGCACTGATGCCCTCGGTCAGCTTTTGTCCGAATATGCAAGACGTCTCTATGCTTCTCAGCTGCAACACTTAAAAGTATGCATTATATTTAGCCCTTCCCACATTTATGAATCATTTAGAATATAGTTGGAGTTAACTGATGTTTCTTTTTTTTTTTTTTGGGGCTGTGTTATTACCTCATGTTACTTTGTTTCTTTCAGGACATTGTAGGCACTTTGGCTACTGAATCGGCAGAAGACGCTGCACAGGTGGCGAAGCTCCGCTCTGCTCTCGAGTCTGTTGATCACAAGAGACGGAAGGTTAGCATGTGAATAAAATATATATATAAATTTCTTGGTTCTCTATTTTGAAATATGCATTGAATGGTCATTCTCATGTTTTGAAATATGAATCTTATTGTCTGAGTTCATATCTAAATTTCATTTTTTGTCAAATTTATACTCATTAAATTTGGGCGTTCTTTTCTGTTTTGTAAATGTTGGTTTTTAGGTAAAATATTGGTTGAATATGATGTTTTATATAAAAATTGGGGTGTTTTTATTGGGAACAATGAGATTTGTATGGTGTGTTTGTTTTGTCAGATTGTTGGAAAGAAAATTTTTTTATATGAGGTATAGTGAATTGTGTAAGAAATATAAAAATAATAAATGTGTCTAGTGTATTAATTTTTTTTGAAAAACATGTAAAAAAAAATAATAAAAAGAACAAACTCGTAGTAAAACTAAAATAAAAAGAACATATTCTTATTATGTTCTTGTCACTAAATCGAAATATATTTGTATCAATTTTAACTTTAGGCAATGTTGCTCCAATTCTTATAACATTTGACTTAAATTAAATGTACATGTTTTCTTTTTACCGATATGTATGTGCATCTATATATATATATATATATAAATACACACATGAACATATTATCTTGTGTCACATGGACACCATTGTTTTCTGGAATCAGATTTTGCAGCAGATGAAAAGCGATGCATCATTGTTCAGTTTGGACGAAGGCGCTGCACCGATTGGAAATCCCAACACCGCTGCTGAGGATGCACGACTGGCGTCATTAATTTCACTTGATGGCATATTGAAGCAAGCTAAGGTTTTCATCCCATCTCCCATCACATTTTCTTTTTGCTGGTTTTTTTTTATGTAAGTTTATTCCTTGTTAATGGGAAATTTATATATCTTTCACTCGAATAGGATATAACAAGACAAGCATCAGCTGGTGTTCTAAGTAAGAGTAAAAAACGCTCGTTGCTTTCCTCTCTTGATGAACTCTCCGAGCGGATGCCTTCATTACTGGATGTCGACCATCCTTGTGCTCAGCGACACATTGGTGAAGCTCGACAACTTGTTGAGGTATGTTTCTTATTTTATGATTCCATGGAATTAACTACGGAGTATTTTTTGTATGCTTTTAGTTTTTATGAAGTTAAAAGCATGAATAGTTGTGTCGCGGTTTCTACATGCATAAATTGAACCATAGGCCTCTTTACAAAGATATAGTGTACTTATGTGCATATTAGTTTTTTTTTTTTTTTTTCGATTTGGTGTGTTTTTTAAGGTAAAATAGTAGTTGAATGTTATATAAATAAAAAATAGGTATTAAATGTGATGTTTACTTTGTGACTTTTTTGGAGTTCTAGTTTTGATTTTTGGTTTAAATGATGTTTACATGAAAGAAAGTGATGTATTTCTACTTTAAATTGTGAGGATTTGACGGTAAAGTAGAGAAATAAATTTGAAAGTAAACATAGACTTATAGTAGAGAAACACTGAAAAACATACAATAAACAAACATGCATTTCATTAGAACACTTATACTCAATTATGATTTTTGTCTTTTTGTTATCTCGCTGTCAAAATGTATTCTACACATTTGCAAATGTCGTCATTTTTGTCCTTTCACGCGCGGACGGAGGATAAAAATGACTGACTTTTGCATACATACAAGATATATTTTACCAGCTAGATAAATAATACTTTAAGGATATTTTTTGTAATTTTTTCTGCATTTCATATATATATATATATAGAGAGAGAGGTTATGGTGTTGATTAGCTCTAATTAGCATATAAAAAAAATATATAGAGAGAATACACGGTTTCACTTAATACAACATATATTGTGTTAATTGAAATTATTTGCCGACAGTTCATATTTTATAGTGCGATGAATGATCGTAATACGAATTGTATAAATTATAATAATATATTGTATGTCATACTGACACAAATTTGTTTTCTCGATTTAGATTTCATGTGTTCTCTATCTATCTCTTTCTTCTCTAAACAATCTAAACTCCCGATTTTCTACATGTAGTCGACTACAGAAGAGGATGACAAGCACGTCGACTCGGCGGCGCCATCCAAAGACACAACTCAGCAGCAGCTGCAGCCGCAGGACGTGTCGCAATGGAACGTCCTACAGTTCAACACGGGGTCGACAACTCCATTCATCATCAAGTGCGGGGCGAGCTCAAATTCGGAACTTGTAATAAAAGCAGACGCGCGCGTGCAAGAGCCAAAGGGCGGGGAGATTGTCCGGGTGGTTCCAAAGCCAACAGTCCTCGAAAACATGACGCTTGAAGAGATTAAGGATAAGGTATTCTCGCAGCTTCCGGAAGCTCTCAGTTTGCTCGCTCTTGCTCGGACAGCTGACGGGACCCGCGCTCGTTACTCGAGATTGTACCGTACGCTGGCCTTGAAAGTTCCCGCGCTCAAAGATGGATTTGTCGAACAAGTTTGAACGGAGGAGGATGTGTTTCGATCCAATTCGATCAAAATGATCTCCAGTCTTACTGGTTGCTTTGTAAGAAAATTTGTTCTATTTTATACGTGTTTTTTTTTTTTTTTTTTTTTTTCTGAGAACATAGGATAGGATGGAATTGAGTATACAATGTAATACACAATACATATTGGTATTGTTTATTATTAATGTTCAATGTTAAAAGTAACTAATTAGTATAATGAAAAATTTTAAAAATTAAATTTTTTAAATATAATTAAAGTGTGTAATAAGTTTTTAAAAATAAAAATAATTGTATCAATGGATGACAGAGATAAATTGTTATAAATAAATAATGAAAATAAGTCATTACAATACACAAAGGTGAATGATTGCGGTTTTTAAGGTTTGTATTATTCATTATAATTTTCTTTCTGAAAATATCAATTTAAATTTTTATATTATAATACCTTCGTTCCACATAGGGATGTAATTAGTAAATAATTAAGAATATATTAGTGAAAATAATTATCTTATAATATGAATAATTATAAATTAAAATTAAAATAACTAATTAGTTTAATTAAAATTTTAAAAAAATAAAATTCAAAAGTTTAAAATGAGATTAAAGTGTATAATCATTTTAAAAAAAAGGAAAGTGCCATGTTATGTGGGACGGATAGAAACGAACATGTATGTGGGACGGATGGAGTATTATTTATTTGGTCTCATATAATTTATTTATTTATTTTTATTTTCATCAGTTTCATATAATTTACATTTTTAAATATAATTATACATTTTAATTACATTTACATAATACCTAAAACTCCGTATCCAAGCTAAAACGGACAAATTAGCTGAGACGGAGAAAGTATTTTTTTTACATAAAAGTTATTACTCCCTCTGTTCCACATATCATGTCCATCTTTCCATTTATGTTTGTCCCACTTATTTTCTCACTTTTCTTTTATAGAAAAAAATTATACACTTTCATTTAATTTTAATTATAATAATCAATTATTTTAATTTTAATCTACAATTATTTTTATTATACGATAATTATTTTTGCTAATATATTTTTAATTATTTACTAATTATATCTCTCCTAAATTCTCGTGGATACAGTAAAGCGGACAAATATCCGAGAGAAAGTATTAAATACTCTCTCCATCCAAAAACAATAATTTTATTTTGGCATTTTTTTCTATATCAAAATAATAGTCTCATTTTTATTTTTGAACTACCTTTTCACATTTTTACAATGATTATATAAATAAAAATATTTTAATCTTTTAAAAATACTTATACATTCCTCCGTAACTACCCTCTAATCACCAAACAAACTCTAAACCTAAAGAAACACACCCTAATATTTTTCTATGTATTAGTATAGATTATCTAGAATGATTTTTAAGTCTTAATATGTGGCCCTAACTCCTTCCTCGATCCATCCCAATTTCCGCACGAGGAAATTAAAATCTCGCACGTGCTCCGCGTAGCACCAAACCACCTGATCCTTCCCCACTCCGGGACTCCCAACGCCACACCACTACACTCCATCACAAAAAACCCTCAGCCCCTCAAACTCCAGGGACCTTCTATTACCCTCCACTCTCACTTTACTCGCTGACTGCACACTCTCCCTTCAACACGCTAATCAACCCTCACGTGACCGCACGCGCTCCCCACCCGCCGTATAAATACTCCCACCAGCCGCCATTCACATTCAGTCCCATTTTCGAAAATTAAAAATAAAAAAATTGAAATAAAAATTCAAAAAAAATAATAAATCGCTATATCTTTTTTCCGCCGATTATGGTGAAATCGTTGTCGCCGGAGCTCCGCCGTGAGTCGCCGTCGCCTCCGCCGCCGCTTTCGCTGTCGCCGGAGACGTCGTCGTGTAAGTACAAAGGCGTGCGGAAGCGCAAGTGGGGGAAATACGTCTGCGAAATCCGGCTGCCTAACAGCCGCGAGCGAATCTGGCTCGGCTCGTACGACACCGCCGAGAAGGCGGCGCGTGCGTTCGACGCGGCGCTGTTCTGCCTCCGCGGCAGCAAAGCCAAGTTCAACTTCCCCGAAAATCCGCCGGACATAGCCGGCGCGAGATCGATGAAGCCGGCGGAGATCCAAGCCGCCGCCGCCAGATTCGCGAACGCCGAGCCGCTCCCACGCGCCGCCGAGCCGGCGCCGGCTGCGTTCGAATATTCCGATTCGCAATCGGATACCCTTTCATCCTTTTCCTGCCCGTCGGTCACCCATCAGGACTATGAAATTACCACAGTACCCCCCGAGAGTGACTCTCTGAACCAGCTGCTTTTTTCTACGGCTGCAGAGAACAACCTCTCTGAGTGCGGGGCATTTTCGGAATTTTACGATTTCCCGGGCGATTTTTTTATGCCCGCTTTGCCCGACGTTACTTATTGGTCTGATACTACTGATGACGTGTTCAGTACTGAGGCTTCGCCATCTCTATGGAACTTTGAGGCCTGATTCTTTAGGAGGACCCGGAGCTCGAGATCCCGATAAATATGCACAGTAGATGGATTAATGAACGGTATAGATGATCGAGACCCGGGACCTCGAACTTCCCTGCGGACAAACTTTCAATCCTTCTCAGGGTCAGAAATTTTGGAAAATTATTTAAAACTGAAATTACTGACCCAAATTTTTTTATTTTTTGATTAATTAATTATTTTGATGGAACCATTTTTTGTATCCATCATCTTCTTTTATCTTCTTATTTTTTTATTTTTTTTTAAAATGATGTTTCATTATTTATTATTATTATTTTATTTGTTGTCCCTCACATGTATGTATTCTGAGGGACCAAATTTTGCTGTAATAATATTTGTAGAAATGAGTTGAAATAAATTGTACGTGGGGTTTGAATTTTGAGTTGAGATTTAAATAGTAAAAATTTTGAATTTGAATAGTTGTATGATGTGATATAAATAGATGTTGATGTGATGTTTTGAATGTAAAATTGATTTTTAGTATAATAGAAAAAATTAAAAATAAGTGTTTGATTTGATGTTTTTTTAGAAAAAAAAAATGGAATAATCAGTGAAAATTTAATCCATTTCCCGGAACAAACACCCTTCATAAGTATTGCTAAATTACGGGAAATTTTTTTATTTTTATGTATTATTAATAATAATTTTGCATATTTATCATTAATGATGTACAAGACGAATATACATTTATTATGTTATCTTCGATGTCAGAGTTTTTTATTATCGTATTAATTGTATACGATAGAATCAATCAAATAATTACACACATATATATATAATGTATATATCCAATAATAATAAACCAAATAGATCAGAATGATACGAGGCAATGTGGGTGTATTCCTTAGACATATTTTTTCAGATTTTTATTATTTTTTATTTTTTATTTTTTAAAAAAATATCAAATTAAATATTTAATACTTCCTCCGTCCACTATCTATCTATCAGTTTACTTTTTACACATAGATTTTAGTATATTAGTATTATATTGATATGTGATACAATTGATATACATAAAGACTATTTTACCCCTTAACATTTATGATATTAAGTGGTGTTATTTGATGACATTTGTGTAATATTATATAAATGGTGGGGTAACTTTATATTTTAGTGGAAGATACATTTACCAAAAAAATGAAATTGACACATTTGTGATTGACATACTAAAATGACAAAATGGATAAATTGACGGTGGATGAATGGAGTAGTATTATTTATATTATATTGAAAATTAATTTTATATTCAAAATATCACGTTACATCAACTTATATTATATTCAAAATATTTGTTGAGATATTTTAGATATTCAGATTTAGTAGATTTATATCTAGATTTGATCTTATTCATATATTAGATTACTTAGATTTGAGTCTATCGAATCTATTTTGTATGACATATATATAGGCTCCTTACTTTGACAATAATAAGAGAATCTCATTATTTTCTCCCAAATTTCTAACATGGTATCAGAGCTTATTTTCCTCGGCTCCGGTGGATCGTCATCTCATTTTTCGGCTCCGGTGGAGTCATGTCGTTTTTTTTGCTCCGGTAGAGTCCTGTTGTTTTCGGCTCCGGTGAAGTCATCTCGTTTTTTGCTCCGGTGGAGAGTCATCTCGTTTTTTGCTCCGGTAGATAATCATCTTATTTTTTGCTCCGGTGGGTGGAGAGTCAGCTGCTAATTTTATTTATGTTTTCTGTTTGCGTTTATATTCAAATTTATCGTCAAACTCAAGTTGGTTTCTATTATACCACTTGAGTTTGAGGGGGATGTTGAGATATTTTAGATATTCAGTTTCAAATTTAGTAGATTTATATTTAGATTTGATCTTATTCATAGATTAGATTATTTAGATTTGAATCTATCGAGTCTATTTTGTATGACCTATATATAGGCTCTTTATTTTGACGATAATAAGATAATCTCATACAAAATATAGGTCATACAAAATAGACTCGATAAACTCAAATTTAAGTAATCTAATTTATGAATAAGATCAAATCTAAATATAAATTTACTAAATCGGAAACTGAATATCTAAAATATCTCAACATCCCCCTCTCAAACTGGTATAACAGAAACCAACTTGAGTTTGACGAGAAATTTGAATATAAACGCAAAAAGAAAACATAAATAAAATTAGCAGTTGACTCTCCACCCACCATAGTAAAAAATGAGATAACTCTCCGCCGGAGCAAAAAACGAGATGACTCCACCGGAGCAAAAAACGAGATGACTCCACCGGAGCAAAAAACAATAGGACTCTACCGGAGCCGAAAACGACATGACTCCACCGGAGCCGAAAATGAGATGACTCCACCTGAGCCGAAAACGACAGGACTCCACTGGAGCCGAAAACGAGATGACTCCACCGGAGCAAAAAACAACAGGACCCCACCGGAGGCGAAAAAAAGATAGATCGCAACACCAAACAGATCCCACGCAGACAATAGACAAGCAACGGACAAATGGCAGATCACAGACAGGTTTCATATCGCATGCAAGCAACGGACAGGCTTCATATCGCATGCAAGCAACGGACAGGCTTCATATCGCACGCATACAACAGAAAAGAAGCAACAAGCAGGCGGACAGATGACAAACTGCAGACGGGTTTCAGATCGCATGCAGGCAACAAACGGATAGCAAATAGATTTCAAATTGAACGCAGACAACATACAAATGGTAGATAGCATGATTTCAGAATCACTACACCTCCGGGTACAATCCAGGTTGAATATACCCGGAGAAACGCAGGTTGATAGACTATATCTACGGCATAAGAAAAATAGGCTCTGATACCATATTAGAAATTTTGGGGGAAAATAATGAAATTGTCTTATTGATCATCAAAATAAAAAGCCTATATATAGGCAATACAAAAGAGACTCGATAGACTCAAATCTAAATAATCTAATCTATGAATTAAATCAAATCTAGATATAAATTTACTAAATCTAAAACAGAATATATAAAATATCTCAACAATATCATTCTATACATCTATTTCAAATCAAAGACTTTTACCGTCAAATCATATGTAATTTTTTGTTGTTATTTCAAAATTCAATATATATAAATTTATTAAAAATTAAATATTGATTTTAAAAATTGAATTGGACCAGACACAACCCGGTTCATTAGCATGCCCTGCCAGACACGGTCCAAAAATTTTGGAGTCTATTTTTTTAGGTCAAAGCACGATTTTTTCGTATTGTGCTCGGACTGGGCTTTCATGATTATTTTGCCACCCCCAAATGAAATTATTGTATTTACATTATGATTGCCAATGTTGCTAGTCAGCAAAAATTGTTATGACACGATAACCTAACACGAAATAATTAGGTTTTAGTAAAGGATTTTAACTCGATTATAAATACGGGTTGACACGAATCTGTTACAATAATAAACAGATCGAGTTAAAATTTAGGCTCTCAACTCAAATATGACACGACAATCCAATTATAATATATTAATTAATTAATTAATATATTTATTAGATATATATAAAATAATTATAATTTAATAACCCACGTATTAATTTAAATTAAGTTAAATTTAAAATAATTCGACCTAATTCATCAAATACATTATACTAGAACTAAAAAAAAACTAACATAGCACGACAACATGACGAAAAATAATTGAATTTAAATAAAAAAAATTTAATTTAATTATGTATACGAGTCAATACGGGTTAACACAAATCCGAAGCGATAATAAATAAGTCAGATTATAATTAAATTATTTAACATGTTTAAGTATTCAATCAAATATGAATTGACCAAATGCCAACTCTATATTATACATAAATCAACGTTACTTAAAATATTAAGGTTATCAATAAAAATATGTTATCATAATCCATATCTCCAAATACTTCGTCCTTCTAGTTAAAAAATATACATATTTATATTTTGGGACATCTAATTACGAAATAACTATTTCATTAAATATCTCATTTCAATGTCTTTACTTTATATTACATCGTTACTTTTATATTAAAAAAAATAAAAGCAAAAATATAATTATATTACTTTTACCTATCTATTATAATTAAAATATTATTATTTATTAAACTCCACCGTAAAAATAAATATATACTTTTTATTTTTATTTGACGGAGGGAGTATTATTTAAGAGTTTGTTTCTTTTGACACTAAAATCAAGTTTTTTATATTTAAATTATGTATTTTATAAAAAAAATTTATAGAAAATATTTTGTTATATATTATTTTAATACAAAAATCAAACCAATTTTTTTTTTTCAAAACATATCAAAGAAACATACCCTTAAATTCCAGAACAAAACAAAATACTCTTTTATAACAAAATATTCAATTTTTTATTTTAGTCTGTCTCATAATAATTTTTTTTTTTTAAGTAATTGTATTATATACATAACATTACAAATATTTTTACAACTTACAATATATTAAACAAATACTTTTACAATTTACAATATATTACACAAATATTATTATTTAGTCATTTATATTTTATTTTTATTACATTCTAATATAATACTAATATTTTTAAAATTTTATACAAACAGTATACATAATTATGGGACATATTTTGTATGCAAAACTTGTGAATGCCAAAATGACCTCAATTGGTGTTCTAGAAGCCTCCATCTTTTGCACAAAACCCCCCTTTCTGTTTCAGGAACCTTCTAGGGTTTCTTTATCCTCTCGTTATCCATCAGCGCACCATTCCAATCCTCCCACACTACCTACACCTCACTTACTCTTCACTGCGCTCCGCTCTACTCTGCTCGCATTCATTGCCTTGCCTATCAACACACGTTCTACGCTTTCAGGTAACGTATTTATCGCTATTCTCTTGCTCAATTCTCTGCAATCGTTGGATTTCATTGATGTGATTTGGTTTTCCGCTTTGGTTTGTACAGATTTCTGAGTTTTAGAGCGAGAAATGGCGACCATAAACCTTGCTTCAGTTTCTGCCAAAGGATTTGCTTCGTTTAATGGACTCAGGGCCACGGATGCTGTGCAGGTTTCGTTTTTCACCCCTGTGAAGCAGAGTGGGGGCTCTCAAAAGACGTTTCGTGGACTTGTTGTTAAAGCTTCCACTACCGTTGCTCCGAAGGTGCGTTTTGTTACAGTCAGTGATGTATTCGTTTCGAAATTCGATTCTGAGCTCGAAGTCGTTCGTTGTTGCATCTATTGTCTGTTTGTGAATGAATTTCGGTACAGCTGAAAATTGGTGTTTAGATTCATTGATTCGTATTCGGTTATTGAAATGCTCTGGTTTCTTTCTTTAGATACCAGTTGTGATGTTTTCGTAGTGATTATCTTAAGGAATAGATCTTTGTTTCTCATTTGAGCAGTTAAAGGATGTTTTTGATTCTTGTTTATTT